GTTTTTTGCTAATTTCTAATAAGGTAGTCTAGTAGTCCTATCCCACATTGCTCTAGACACGTTCGGTGCCTGTTCCCCTAATGGAAAATGCTACAAGAGGAAGGGCAGGAGACACCATCAAAATCATTCCACTTGCCTGTGCTGCTGCAGAGCGGCATAGGTTGGAGATGAGAGTCCTTCCTCTGAGCCCCACTGGCAGCAGAGAAAGGAAGCTCCAGCCCCGCAGAGCAGGTTCTCCTCACTCAGCCAGCCCTTTAACATCTATTCCATTAGCAATCATGGGAGCTACTACAACAAGGGGAGGAGAGAATACATCCCGCAGTGAATCTGATGATCAAAAGAAAGTTTGATTAAAAAACAGTGTAGATTAAAGGCTAATTGGTTCTTCCTTCATTAATAGCAGCCTTTATTTTTTGCAAAAGTTAAATAGCTTTGTAATTAACAGTGACATGTTTAGACTAGTCAAGGCTGAGTTTAAATCTCTATTAATGACTCTCTCTTGGATTTTAAAGCAAGAGTGAAGGCTTTCAGCTACTGTTTTGATCTTCTCCCTTTTTGCTTACTATCTTTTTAAAGGCATGTCAGTTATATGTTTTTAATTTTGTCCTCCTGCTGGGACTTCCTAAATTTATTAGAACTGATAAAATCTATCCTATTTAGTTCTAAATGATCAGGTTAACCCAGGGCCTTTTGCTCTGCCATTCCTTCTCCAGTGTCTTCTCCTAACTTTTGGTATCTCCTTGTGCTACTGCCCCCTGAAATGTGGAAGTTAGACACATGATCAAATAGTTTAAATTTTTAACTGGCAAATTATAAATCTACCTCGTCTATTGGTACTTAGGCTAAACAGTTTTGAAGTATGAAACTGTCTTCTTTGTGCCTATGAAGGACTTGGAATATTTTGCAGTGGTATATAATACTCAAAGTAAATGAACATGAAAAATTCTGCAAATGTACGTCTGCGTTTTTTTCCCATTAATGTCTTAGAAATGGTTGCTGCTGTTCTGGTAGTTCTGTGAAATGATTCTCCCCTTCTCTGAATGTGTTTATACATGACATAGCTTTTCACTGAGCTCTCCCTGAAAACAAACAGCATACTCTTGGTAGTAAATCAGAGCAACTATGATTTACTATACTTTGTTTGCTAAGGTAAGCTTTTGGCAAAGCAAATGCATAAACTGCAGAATTTTTTTTTAAACAACTACACAGTTTGACCACCCTACAAAGTTTCCATAAGGATATTTTTTAATTTCCCTGCCTAGATTAGTATCTGTGGTAGATAAAACATCTCTGAATACTTCTTTACTGCTTAAAAAAAAAAAAGAAAAGAATATTACACGGCTCTTTTGTGGATCTACCCTCTGAGTAGATGCCAATTGAATATTTCCCTTTAAAAATACATCAGGTGGAAAGAGCCCCTATATACTAAATGGATATTTTTGTCTGAGAACACACTCTTTTTGTCTGAGAGACCAGTGCTTTGTTCAATCTGTCCATTTTAATCTTATTATTGCACCATGGATTTATATAAAAGAGAAGTTTGTTCTAGGTAACAAAAGGGTCAGAGACCCAAGCATCAGAAAAAAGGAAGATGGGACAGCAAGCAGCATCTAATTATATCTGACTCTTTGGCAGAAAAAAACAACCTTGAAAAAAAGTAACACAAAGTTGGGAATTCACCTTTTCTTCATAGATGGAGAGTATTTTAGTTTTTAACAGTACTATTTTTTCTTCTTGTGCCATGCGTTCTCTTTCTAATGTATAAATCTATGCAATGTGACAGAATTTAATAGTAACAGGATTAATGATTTAACAATCTTATTTGGTAGCGTTGTTCCGTCATTCAAACCTGGCAAAATTTAGTTGTGTTATAAATTGACCATTTCATGGTTCTTTCTTTTCTTGGTCGAGATAGTATTGATCTCAGATTGTTTCTCAACATTCAGCTTTCCACGTAATAATTGCCACAGCCATCATGAGGGCTCCTTAGTTTCTTTGACAGCTCTTTTTATAGAGAAATTCTTGGTCTCGCTGGTTGAATCTCAGTCTGTCACCTACAGTGGTAGTGTGCCAAGGCCGGACTTTAGGGACATTATTATATTTGCATGTGGTTATTTGCCCTTCCTGTCAATGAGGTTGTATCTGACATCTGTCATGAACTTAAAAAACAAATGCAGAAGTTATTTTAATAGTTAGCTTAGTGAAATTATGCAAAATTGGGAGCTGATTTCTATATTAATAGGATGTAGGATTTTAAATAGTGTTCCATAAATGGTGTAATTCTTAATAGACATGCAAACTTCATAGTACAGTGCATGTTTTTATATTTTAGTATTATGAAAATTCATACCTCAGGATTGCATTCAGATTTACAAGGTTGCATGTCTAGTGTAGTTTTTGTAGCCTTTGAAAAGACTGCTTTATTGGAGCCATATGGCTAAATTGTTAAACATCTGTACTATAGAAGCAACAATTCGAAAGCTTCCTGCCATCTGTATGAATTACAATACTTACAATTCAATGCATATGTTACAAGAACACACCAACACCACAGTCAAGTGCACTTAGGATGAAAACAAAAATAATAGCTTATGTGATCAGCGCAAAAGTTGCACGCTTAGAAAATGTTGAATCAGCAGTTTAAACAACCTGAATATTCATAATGTTTGCTTGTTTGTCACATTTGTTGATTATTTTAACTTTATAAGGCAGTAGCTTGTTAACATTTTAGAAGAAATATTGTCCCCCACTTCTTACCTCGATTTTAAATTTCTCTTGGCCAGCATTCCTATAACCTGAACGTATATTGTTTGAAACCTGCTGGACTTAGGAAATATATTTTTCTTATCTTT